AGACAAACACACACACACACATACACATTCGCGCACACAGACGCGGGCGCTTCGTTCTCGCATGCGCCGCATTGCCGAAGCTCAAGTTTGTGTCTTAAGTCTTTCGTTTTACTTGCGCTCTCAAGTCGAAACGCCGCTGAGCCGCGTCTGCGCTCTCGCGAGCAAGTCTCCACCGGGTCTCTGCGCAGGGGCAATGGCAATGCGCGCATGCGCAGGGGCAATTGGCAGGGGTGTTTAAGGGGCAATGCCAGGGGCAATTGAGGGGTGAGAAAGGTAGACTTTTCTGTGGATTGCATTAAGGGGTGGCTTTTGACGCGTTCTGTTGCTGTTTTGAGGGGTTACACTGAGCTCTCCGCTGGGGTAAACAGAGGGGAGTTGGAGGGAAGTTGAAAGGAGAGCTGCAGGGGGAAGAGCAGCCAAATCTTAAATTCATTTTATGAATATTCGAGAAATGAAGAGTAAAGAGAGCTTAAATATGGAGCATATATCTTATGAAGTAAGGCTTTAATAATATGAAGATATCATCGAGAAACAATGAGATACCCCGAAGAGATTCGATAAGAAGAAGGTAGTAGATAATTTGATATTAAATGAAAATTAAATTAAAAAATTAGGGATTCATCAAAATACAAGACATACAGAAAAACATATGACTATATTTATAAAAATATGTTGTGCTTTATTTAAATCTTTATTTAAAATGCGACTAGGAATAAATCATATTATAATACTTAATCCTCAGTGTCTTCTCTTCTGTCAAGTCACTTTTTAAGAGATTTCCCCCACCCCGGTAGCCGAGCCCCGCCTAAATGCTTATGCTGTTGATAAATTGCATCAATGATGATCGATGCTGGACAGCTTTAAGAGTCAGCTACTTAAAGGGCACTTAAAGACCTTCACTGATGCAGATAGCAGTGAATTATTGCTGCTGCTACTGGCAGTTGTCCACTGTGGGGATGTGCACTGTACCGTCTGTATCGTCCGCACGGCTATCGCAATTTCACAATATTTTGCAATGAGCATCTGGCAGATGCGTCTCGCATTGCCGTTGACCAGGCGCAATCGCAGCTCCGATAAGGCAGTGTCAAAATTTAGCAACTGCCGATGCTGCGACGCTGTCAACATATCATTTGTCATTGGTCGCATCGATAGCGACTGGCCAAACGGGTCTTTGTCTATGACAAATGCTGCTGCTGCTGGATGAAGCTGCCGGAGCTGGTGGATGGAGCTGCTGCCGTAGTCAAGTTATTAATGAAGTTGCCGGGCCGCCGCATGCAAAATGTGGTTGGCGGCAATGCCGCCTCACGGCCAATTAACCCGCTAATTAAATGGCCGCCAGCAGCCAGTAGCAGACGCTGCTTCCACTTCTGCTGCGGCTGCTGTGCAGGAAGCACTTGGCGTTTTGTGTTTTATGCGCCGTTATCAGGCCACGACAATCAGCTCGAAAAGCGTAGCACGGCTCATGCATTGCAGTTGCTCTGGACCTGAAAATGCAAGGCGACAGTTTCGACTGGGTTTGGCCAAGATGACCGCTGCTCCACTGCCAGCCACTTCATTAGGTCCCAAATTGATGAGTTCAATTAGGCAGCCAGACGATCGCAGCTGCTGCCTGCCTTCTTGTCCGCGTTGGTAATTAGCGCAGAGATTTTCAAATTGCCAAAACTTGTCCAGCGCTGCTTGTCAAAGTTATACTCCGCTTCTGCATTGCTGCGCCCTGCGCCCCAAACATTAACCAATAAAAAAGAAAAAAAAAGAGATGTGTGTCAGTTTGGGCAACGGGCATTTTGTTGATGCCCATTCACCTGGCTCTTTTGCCTGCTGCCGCTTGGTTTCACTTTCGCAGCATTGTGAAATCAAATGAATATGAATTCCAATTCCAATTTCAATTCCTTTTTGCAGCTGCCGCACAAAATTTCAGCATTCGTAGAATTCGGAGCAATCCTTTTTATATATGTTTTTTTGTTTTTCTTTATTATTATTATATTTCTTCAATTTTTTTTTTTTTTTGTTGGCATCCAGGCTATTCGGCTGTGCTTAATGAGCCCGTTTTGGAAATGGTATTCTCGTGTTAAAACATTGATTCGATTGGCGCTCTTAAAAGGTGTCGCCGGCCCATAAAATAAAGCCAACCTTTGCCTTTGCCTTACTACTTTTTTTTATTTTTGTATTTTAGTATTCCTTCTGACTGGCTGAATTGGCCATAAAAGTTTCGCCCAAAAAATCAAAAGGCGCCGTATCCTTTTTTGTTAATTAACGCATACGTTTTTTTTTTTTTTTTTTTTGTTTCCCGAGCTCTGGCTAAATTTCCAGCTGCTGCCAAATTGTGCGATCAGCTTGTCAACTTTTATGGGGCTTATGCTTTCATTTTAATTGTAATGCCCGTTTAGCAGCAGCAGAAGCAGCAGCAGCCCAAAATGGTTGCCCAATTCATTAACATACACACACGCAGTGACCCATATACAGGTGTCTGCGTGAGTGTGTGCGAGTGTGTGTGTGTCCGTTCAAAAGTTCTGCTCGTTTCCTCTTCGTTTTCAGTTTTCACAGTCCCACGTTGAGCTCTTTCACACAGCTGTCCGTGTGAAAAGCATTTCAGCGATTTTCAGAATTCTCTAAATGTGCAACGACTGAGAATTTTCGGCAAATGAAATGCGCGAAAGGGCAGGCTAAACGATACCCTGTACTTGGACAAAGATATGCCAACAACTCATGCATGTGAAAATATAAAGAAATAATGTTAAATACAGCCTCGATTTTCTCAAGCTTATATCCATAAAATGAATGAATCTCATTTTGTGATCCTAGGGTACTCTGCCGTGGTTGGGAGCGCCTAATAAAAAGATAATACTTCATTGTGAGGTATACCTCGCGCCTTTGTGCTGGTCATAATACCCACAAATCGCAGCGCAAGAGTGTTTTTAATAAAGTTCTCATTCTCACATTATTCGTCACGCCGAACGGCCGCGTCTGAGCGCCCACATTCCGTTCCAGAGCGGGCAGCGTGCGTGTTTTTGATTCCCAGTCCCAGTCTCAGTCTCATTAGCGGATGGCCAGCAATTTAACCCCTCCCACCTAACCAAGCCTCGGCCGGCGACAGTTCACATGTCGGCGACGGGCTCACCCTGGCCCTCGATGCCATTGCGTTCCCAGGCGCGTTCCCAACAACTGCACAAGTTCTCGTGTGATTTTTCGTATCGCTGTGAAGCGGCTGCAAATCGTGGGTCCTCGAATCTCACCCTTAATACGCGGCTGAAGCGCGCTCTGCACCTGAGCGTGCAATAAAACTGGGGGTTGGTTTGTTGTTGGTGACGCGTGCCGCGTGTGGGAAACGCAATTTGTTATTGTTTATCGCTGGATGTTTATTGTGGCTTGTTTACACAGATTGCAGACAACTTGAGCTGCACTGCGCCCAGCTGGCTAGCTGTGAGCTAGCTGCCAATACAAATTGGAAATTTCTCATTAAGTTTGCAATCAATTCTACAACCTGGTAGCATCGCCATTGACCTCTGGCCAAGCGGCCGTTTAGAGCGCACAAAATGTAGACCCACAATTGCAGTGTTCGGCCAGTTTTATGGCTGCTGATGGGCGCCTTATGAGCGGTTGTGCAGTCGTGCCACAAGGGTTCTACGGATCAGGCCCGGACATCAAATTGCCCATCATCATTGGCTGCAGTTGAAATGAGTTTGTTGCCTAAGTCTTTTGCTTTTTGGGTTCTGCATTGCATTCCAAATCGCGCATAAAACGAATTTATTTTTATATACGTAATACGTTAACTTGAGCAAACAACATCATCATCAGTGCAACAGCAGCAACAACACAAACTCCAACAACAACAGCAACAGCAACAACAGCAGCATCAAGTTGCGATAAAAGATTTTTGTTTCTTGATTTCGTTGCACCAAAAAAGGCAACGGCAACTCCCATTAAACGTCCCAAAAAGGCAAAAGTTGCTATCGTTGTTGTTGTTGTTGCTGTTGCATTGTTATTGTTGCTGCTGTTGTTGCTGCTGCTGATGTTGTTGTTATTGTTTTCTTTGTTAACTGGCGCCCACCACGTTGAGAGCGAGGCGGCGGCCACCGGCGCAGTCGCTTGTATGCATTTCATTTTGTGGCGCCACGCCCAGGCAACAACTGCCACATGCAACGCCCACCAACCAGCCAACCAGCCAGCCAGCCAGCCAGCCAGCCGCTCCAAAAGTCTCTGTGCCATATTCCCAGATTTGTTTAGGCCATTTTGATACGCAGCCCAAGTGCAACCAGCAGCGTCATTAAAGCAGCTGCATTTAATTTCAATGCCCATTTAAGGCTGAAAACTTTGCCATGTGTTGTTGCTGTTATTGCTGCTGTTGTTGTTGTTGTTGTTGTTGTTGTTGTTGTTGTTGTAGTTGTTGATCTCAAGGGCTCACTTTTCCCCCAAGCATAGAGTCAGCCCCAACCTCAGCCTAGCAGCTGCGCAGCTCAACGCATTTTTTACAACATTTTTGCCGCGACTAGTTGCCGCACCAGCCCAGTCCTAGCCCTAGTCCCAGTTTGAAACACGTGCAACTAGAGAGAAGCTTCGCCCTGTTTTGGCCCCTTGTTCGCCTGCTGCAGTTGTAGCTGTTGTTGTATCAATTAAAGCTGCGCTTGATTTTCACATGCGTAGGACGACAGGTGCAAAATGCTACAACGGCTTAGACCCAGCCCCAGTCCTGCACTGAGACAGCTCTCTCGGGTACAGCTACAGCACCCAGTCACAGTGATTTGAATTTTTCCATGCGGTTGGGCCAGCAAAATTACACGTTAAATGGTAAAGCAGGCGGCATTAAGACAGGCACAGGTGCAGTGGCAACAGCTGCTCAAATCATTTGCAAACGCGTTAAGTGCATCACCGGATGGGCGGCAGCCCGCTTGAGGAACGGGTGGCCAACACAGCTGCTGCTTTTACAGCGCGCACACACACACACACACACACGCACATATCGCTAATTAAGATTTTTCATTTCGCTTTTTATTAGAGGCCAGGATTTCACAGAAGTTAACGTACAACTTGAAAACTGTGACATCTGCAACAAATTTGATGACAGCTTAATAAGTTCTTTGGTTTAGAAAATTTTCGTCATGCATTTATAGTCGAAAAGCATTAAGATCATGGACAAGCTTTACAATAAGACTTTTCCTCTTTTATAAAATATTAACAAATAGTTTCAGTTATGCACAATACAAACTGCAGTCAGAGTATGTTTACAAATAATTATCCACGGTTAAGCGCGATTCGCCGCGATTAACACGTAAATTTCCCATGCAGCCCTCGAATAGGATGTCCGCGATGGCTTTTCGTGCCAGAATACGCTGTGTCGGCGCCATCTCCTCATACTGAATAGCCCAGGATTTGGCAAGTGTTTCGGAGGCATCGCTTAAAGGTACATTTGACTGCTGGGACGCGGAGCTCTTCATAACAGTCAATGTGGTTGATGTAGAGCTGGCTGGCTCATTGAATTCTGAAGCGCTGGTATCGGCATTATCTGCCTTGATGGCATCATTTGGCACTATTCCCTCGGTATCCATTGCATCCAGTTCATTTTCAAATATTTCGATCTTCGGGCTGAGCAGCAAGCTTTCGGTAAACTCTGCTGCTGTCGTATCGGAGCTGTTTGTTAATTTTGGTAAAGCTGTTATTGTCGAGCCTGTGTCCAATGGATCCATCATAGCCTTCATAAGGTGACTGGTCAGTAGGGTAACACACATATAAATCGTAATGCAAACTTACATCGAATCTAAAGTCTGACATTGACTTTCCTTTAACGCCGGGCTTACAGCGCGTTTTCCTGGCTCTACGCTGGAAAGACTCTTGGGTGAGCAGAAAGCTCATATTATCGTAGAACCATAATACGGGCTTGCACAATTCAGAATGCAGTCCCAAATCTTGCTGTCTCCAAATGCGCATCTGTTCCCGTCTATAGTTTGTACGAAAAATGTTGATACGACGTCCAACATCTGTCTTCGATGCATTTGGCTGAATCACTTTTAACTTATTATGTAGAATATCGTATGATTGGTTCCTTAATTCTTTATTTCTATAATCCGGATGGCGCACATCCCAAAGCTCCGGCATTTCCTCATAGAGCTTCAAAAACTCGCGCCAAAACTGTCGCTTATTAGCAATGAAACGATCTAGCAACCCTGACATTCCGTGCAGCCAACTTCACGTTATGTGGTATAACAGAGCTCTGTTATTTAACAGAGATTCAAGTTTTGCGCAAACTATAAAAAGTTTATGATATTAATATGATAAAACAAACAGAGCATGTATACTTTGTTTTGAATTTTCCTTATTTACTTACTCCTTAATGTTTTATATACGTATTTTATGCATTTATGCATATATACATGCTTGGACGACCTCCTCGTGGCAACGCCAATCACAGACTGACGACGACGGTGGATGTGTGCCTGTGTGAGCGTTGCTTGCTGTCGATTGATTGATTGATTAGTTTCGTGTCTGTGTGTCAAAATGTATGTGTGCGTTACTTTGCTTTCGCGTTTGTTTTCGTGTGTATGTATTTTTGTTTGCGTGTAGGTAAAGTCTCCATCAATCAACAGACGTTCGTAAATATGCATTAGTGTGTGTATGTACATTGACGCGTACATATGAATGTATTAGGGTACATACATATGTGATATACATATATAATGCACGAATATAAATACATATATCAAATAATTAACGGCATTCTATTTTATATGGAAAGTTTGGTTTTTTGAATGTTTAGGAAATTCACTTGTCATAACCAATAACACCCTGTGCCGCAAGGCCCAGTCGCCAGTTAAAACACACATACATATATATTTACATAGGTACGTATGAAGAATGCAAGGCGAGAATGTGTTGGTGAGCAGCAGTTACATGCGGCGCGGAGAGCAGCAGCCCGCCCAGGTTAAGTCTGCAGCTAAGGGCAGACATGCGCACTAGGAAACAAACAAAAGGTTGATTTGAATGGCATTTAATGCCGGCTATGAATTAACACGCACTAACTTGGCACATCAAACAAACCCAATTGCACTTAAGTACATCAGGCTAAGCCTGATGCCAGTTGTATATCTTACTGTAATCTGAGCATGCATGAGTAATGTACAATGTTTATTTTTGCTAATTAATGTACTTATTAAAATCCATATGCATATATACACATCGTATGTGTGTATGTACACATGCATATTTAATCACTGTGCAAATGGAATTACTGCTAATTAACATTTGTATTTTGGCAAATTATTTACCATGCCACCCTGTGTGCGGCAGTTGCGTGCATTGCCACCCACCGCACAGTCACACACACACACATACACATGCACACAAACTGTGAGCACACAACGGCGCAGTGAGCGAACGCCAGAGAGTGGCAACCTCGTCGTCGACGACAACAGCGGCGGCCACCAACTAAGGGCAGACATGCGCACTAAGAGACAGCACATATATTTGGACTTATTTTAATGTGGCCCAGGCACACGCACAATTGCATGAGGAGGAGGAGGAGCTGGCAGACCGACAACACAATACACATGAGCTGGGCGAGGTGTGTGTTTAGGTGCTACATTTGGTTTGTTGTATTTGGTAAAAGTACAAATTATAAATATACAAGTATTCTATGATTGCATCCAATTGCATCTTCGAGATGTGCTACAAGCTAGACATGCTATCCGTACACTTATACACTTATTCCAGCTCCCGCATGACTTCGTCGGCGCGCGTTATTAATTCAATCAGTCGAGAGTTTTTCTGCGACATGGCAAACTCCTCCAATAGCTTCAGGTACTTGCGCGCCTCGGCGCTGCCGATAATCGATTGGCCGCTGCCCGCATTGTTGTTGTCGTCGGGCTGCCGCGGACGCTTTGGCGGCGGCGTCTGTGCTGGCGCCTTGGTTAGCGTGGGCATGGGCGGCAATGTGATCATGGGTATGGCCAGATCTTGGGCTGGACTGCGACTGCGTTTTCGCTGGCGCAGGGCGCGTGTCTGCTCAATGTACTGCTTCTCATCGTCCACATTGGCGGCCAGAATTTCGGCCAACGAGGTAACGCTGGAACGGCCACCATTGTCGTCGTCATCATCCCCGAGGTATTCGCCATCGCTGTCCAGTTCCTCCTTGATGCGCACCACCGCTGTCTGCTCATCGGCTAGCTTCTCCTTGTCGCTTTCCTCCGTCTTCTGCTGCTCCTCCTCCTGCTGCAGCTCTTCCCGGTCTTTGGGCTCCGTTTTGATCTCCTGTTTAATATCCAACATGGGCGGTGGCATTACCTTCGCTTGCACCGCCGGTCGCTGTGTAATGCTCTGCGCCAGCGTGGCCAGCGGTATGATTGTCATAGTCTGTGCACCGCCAGCCGTGGCACCAGGTGGCAGAATGGGCGTTGCCAGCAGCACCTTTTGCGAGGTGCCCGGCGGCACCTGTGGCAACCGCACCAATTGCGGCAGGGGCTGCAGAACGCGCGCACTGAGCTCGCTGAGCGAGGGTTTTACATCTAGATGCTGATCCACCTCGGGATCGCTGATGTCGCCGCGTCCATCGATATCGACGTCAGCATCATCTTCGTCCACATGACTGCTGCCGCTGATGGTGGCCAAACTGATGTCCTCCTCGTCGTCATCCTCCACAGGGTCAGCTGCAGCCGCTGCAACTGCTGCTGGCGTGCACTGGGACATGACATCCTTGGCAATATCATTGATCTGCACCGAATAGCTTTGCGTGTAGCCAATCTTCAGCAGCTTGGTGTCGTTGTGCTGAATGTTGTAGGTGGTGCGGAACTTGTCGCACCACTCCTGATGCGGAAAGAAATTGGTCAATCCCATCGAGCTCTTGAACTGCAGCGCCATTTTCTGTATCAGTCCGTCCGATATGATGAAGTCCTTGTAGTACATCATGCGCCGTATCCAGTCGTATACGGCTTTGCCCAACATGGACACTCGCACCACCTTCAGCTCCTGCGTCTTGGCATCCTGGCTACGCCTCGTCCGTTGCTCCCAGGCGCGCAATATCTCATCCTTCTGCTGTACAATGCGCTTTATCTGATCCGGACTACAGTTAAACAGGCGGCCCACGTGCTTGTACACCGGCTGGCGATCGTATTCGCGCAGAGCTGCCACCTTTTCGTTTAGGGCCAACACATTTTTGCGCTTGATGCGATTGTCGAACGCAACCTTCTCAGTTGCAGGTAATGTGGGCGGCTGCTGCGATGTTGTTGTTGCCGTTGTGTTTGTTGTTGTTGTAGTTTTAGTTGTTGCTGCTGTTGTTGATTTGCTAGATGTTTCGGGCTTTGGTTCGACATCCGTTGGCTGCAATGATGAAATCATGAACAGTGCTGGGAGCGCACAAACAAAAACAATTGTTTACCTTTTGTTTATCGCTGCTTTTAGGAGCCTTTTGCTCCTTTTGCTGCTTGCGTTTGTCGCGCACACGCATTGCTATATTCACGATTGATTTATTCCTAGTAAATTTATTAAAATTACGCCTGAGGCATAACAGAGAAATGTTATTGCTTGCTGTTGTTCTTTGTATTGTTGTTTGTTTGTTGCGCGAACTCACCCTGTGCCCTGCGCCCTGTTCCCCTAGCTCTCTCTCTTACACACGACCCTGTTATGTGCACACATACATATAGCACCTGTGCGTGAGTGTGTTGTGTGTGTGTGTGAGTGTGTACGTGTGCGATGGCTACGATTATGCGCGTTGACAGCAACTAAACGTCGACCGTTCTTGATTTTTGTTTTTCTTTCTTTTGTCTCTCTTGTTGCGCTTTTAGTGCACTTTTTGCTACATTTTTTTGCAATTCACTTTAAATATTTTGTTATTGCTATTACAATGCGCAGCACACGCATACGCACACGTGTGCGATTGCTTTCAATTTTTCCCGACTAGAACAGCGTATATATAAAAATAGCTGCCCACCCGCTGCCAGCGGCTGCCGTTTTCATTCTGGTTTTCTATGTTTCTGTGAGCGCGAATGCGCATTGAGAGCACTTTTCTGCGCCGGCGGAGAGCTTCGTGATAAGCCCAAGCAGCGCGCAACTTTAACTTGTGTGTGTGCGTGTGAGTGAGTGCGAGAACATCAGATAATGGCAGCACACACACACACACAGCCACACATTTGTAAGGCCGTTTTACGGAGAGAGGGTTGTTATTTTCATTTCACTGCCAATTGCTCTCTTCTTCAACTGCGCATGCGAGAACTTTGTAGATGGCAGCACGAACTTGAGATACATGCGATTGGGTTTAAATTTGATCGCAGCGCGGCGCATTTTCGCAAAACACATATTTACACATCTATTTATGCAAATGCACACTACTCTAAAGTTACTCCGACATAAATTAATTGAATGCCTAATCTTTAATCTTTGTTTTATTTGTGGTACATTTTTGGCTAATGTTCCCCCTAGCCAAAGTTTGTATAGTGCTGCAGAATATATGACATGGCTGCGGGATTGTCAGCAGGCACCATATGTCCGGCCCGGTTCACCCAGAACATGCTGAAATTGCCGGCCGTCTTCTCGTATCCCTCCAGCACGCGATCCACATTGATGCCCACGCGTGGATTCTGCAAATAGCTATTCTTGTCGTTCCACTCCATGTTGGCAATCCAATTGACGGCGCCGGGTGTGGCGCATATCAAGTCCAGGCCACCCGAAAAGACGCCCACTTTGACCGTAGAATTGTTGAGCAGCTCCTCAACTAAACATACACACAGTTGGAAATGAATCCTTAATAGAAACTTTAAAAATCCGTACCAATATGTACAGCTGGCTTCATAAAGTCGCCCATCAGCTTGCTGAAGGTCGTGCTGCTCTGGGCGCCCCACTTAATGCCCGTGGTAATGTTGAGCGCAGTTGTTACGGGTCCTCGCATCAGATCCTCGAGCAGTTGATCGCGATCCTCATCAATGTCGAAGTGCACCAGGGTGCGGTACATGCGCTCTGGAATGGTATCTTGAGGAACTAGCACACAGAGTGGCCAATTGACACTCACCTTCCGAGCTCATGCTGCTCAGCTGCCTCAAGTACTGGTCACCGCGTGTGGGCTTCTCCACATTGTAGAAATCGACGCCCTTTGATTCGCGCAGCACCACCGACTGCGTGGAGCTCCATTGCAATGTGGCCTGTGTCCATTTCCCGTTGTCGACATTCTGTTTGGTCTTCAGTGCCGAAGCTTCGATCTTGTCGTGACCGTCCTGGTCAACAATGCCCAGCTGCAGCAGGAATGGCGCCCACGCAAGTACTGAGTCAATGGGCGATGTCCAGGGATCACCCAAGGCCACCGACTGCAGGTTGCTCTCGATCTCGCCGCGCTGTATCGAGTAGTACAGCTCCAGGGCAAACTCGGGCGCCATTTTGCCACCGTAGCTCTCACAGAAGATGTGCAAAGGAACTTTCTTAAACTCCGGATGCAGCGCATAGAAGCCCTTCATGAACTCTACCAGATCCAAAGCGATCTGCTTGTTGGTCGTGGTGTAATAGGAGGAGCCATCCACATAGCTAAAGCCACTGCCCACGGGATTGTCAATAAATATGACATTCATGTCCTTGACCCAGGTCCACTCCCGGTAGCTGCCATCCAGTTGCAAGGGTCCCAGCTCCTCAAAGTTGCCATAGCCCGTCGACGAGGCACCCGGTCCACCTTGCAGCCAAATGGCCAAGGGACGTTCCGTATAGCTGGATACATTGGCGCTGGTGTAGTATAGCCAGTAGAACATGTGGGCGCCCGTGCGCACATCCACAAAGCCCCAGTCCTGCTCGCCAGGACCATAGCCTGCGCGGGCTGTGCAGAGACAAGTGTAATAGATATTGGGTCAGGCTGATTTGAGGATTTGAGGACTTCAGCATAAAGCTTTTGATTTCTTGTGAATTCAAAGACATCTGTTTGAGTATTCCCTTTATGTATTGATAGCAGCAGGTGTGATAAGATAACTATCTTAGCACAAGAACAAAGTTAAAGATGTTCAGCTCGACTAACGCGTTTCTATTTAGTCTTTTGTGCCACTAAATTTCTATCATTAGCACCTGAATGGCATTTAAATTGGGTCCAAACACAGTTGGTTGTCTGCCAAATTGAGGTCAGTTTGTTACCAGAGTTCCACTTACCGCTCACCGCACCGAGCCCGCAGACCCCTAAGAGCACCACAAAGCTGATTAGGAGACGACACATTTTGCACTAGTTGGAGCACCTCAAGCCAAGTCGACCGTACAGCTGGGAGTGCGGCGACCGTCTGATCGCTGGTCAAATTCAGCCACAGCCAAGAAAGCGTGTGGCGCACATATGGAATTTGTAATCTTGGGAGTGGGAGCGGCGCCTGATCCCAGTGATCGACATTGTCAACGGTTCTTTACGACTGTGATGGGCTTTACGCGTGAAACGCTTGGACATTTATTTATGGCATTTGAGTTTTTTTTTTGCCAATACTTACCTTGTCACTTTCATAAATTTTAGCTAGTTCTTAATTAATAGTCGCGATTGTGCTCGCTTATCGCAGCCCTGTTTCAATAAGTTTGCTTTTTTGATTTGATTTCTGAAGAGCTTGTCAAGTTTCAATTCACTTTACGGAGTGTGAGCTCTGCATTTTATTGGCTGCATTCTACAAATTGTAAGTCTATCCAAAGCCCGTAAACTCGCGCAAGACATGGCTCATGGCGGCGGGATTGTCGGCTGGCGCCATGTGCCCGGATCTGTTTATCCAGAACATGGTAAAGTTGCCGCCCGATTTCTCGTAGCCTTCCAAAACGCGATCCACGCTGATTGCAACGCGAGGCGCGGCTAAGTACTCCTCCCTTCTGCTCCAGTTCATCTTGTCTATCCAGTTAACGGTGCCGGGCGTGGCACAGATCAGATCCAGTCCGCCCGAGAAGACGCCCACTTTCAGCGGCGTTTTGTCCAGAAGTTCGTCAACTGCATTAACCAAGGATTAACTATTTGCATATGATGGCAGTTCCTAGCTAAGGTTTACCAATGTGTATTACGGGCTTCATGAAATCAGTTCTATGAATGTCAAAGGTGCTGCCACTCTGTGATCCCCATTTGACTTCGGATGGTATGCCCAGGGTTTCGGCTACGGGTCCGCGCATAAGTGTCTCCAGCAACGCATCCCGATCCTCATCAATGTCGTACTTCACCACAGTGCGGTACATGCGCTCTGTAATACATTTATCTATGGAATCTAACTTGAGATTGAATCACTTTTCAAATTTACCCTCGAGCGTCTGCATGAGCTGCCTTTGATAGCGATCACCGCGCGTTTCCTTCAGCACATTGTAGAAATCCACGCCCTTTGAGGCCTTCATTACCTCCCACTGCGTGTTGCCCCACTGAGCTGTAGACTGTATCCAACGCTCCTCCGCCACCAGTTCGGCTGTAAAGTTGGCAGCCTTCGTTATGGCATCGTAGCCATCCTGGTCAACGATGCCCATCTGCAGCAGAAGTGGTCCCCATGCGAGAACCGAGTCGATGGGCGATGTCCAGGGATCACCCAGAGCCACCGATACCAAATTGCTCCTAATCTCGCCTCTTTCCTTGGCATAGTACAGCTCCAGGGCGAACTCGGGTGCCATTTTTCCGCCGTAGCTTTCGCAGAAGATATGCAGAGGCACAGACTCAAATTCCGGATGTAGAGCATAGAATCCCTTCATTAACTCAACCAGATCCAGGGCAATTTCTTTGTTTGTAGCCGTATAAAAGGCCGTATCGTCCACATAGCTGAAGCCGCTGCCTACAGGATTATCAATAAAAACCACATTCATGTCCTTCACCCAAGTCCAGTTGCGATAATCGCCGTAAAGATCAACAGGTCCAAGCTCCTCAAAGTTTCCATAGCCCGTCGAAGAGGCGCCAGGTCCACCTTGCAACCAAATAGCCAAAGGACGTTCCGTGTAGCTGGATACATTGGCTGTGGTATAGTAGAGCCAGTAGAACATGTGAGCGCCTGGCCGTACGTCGACAAAGCCCCAGTCCTGTTCGCCGGGTCCGTAACCCGCCTTGCCTGTATAATTGTGTGTATAGGTCAGACCAGGATTTGTAATCTACGGATTGCTATAACAACTTGCCATGTGCCAAGGTTGCGTAACACACCAGAAATAATGCGATCGTACGAATTGCAGCAGACATCTTCCGTTGAAGCCAGCAGCTAACTGTGCTTTGGCTGCCGCCAACTCGACCAGCTCCATTTTAACGGAATAGCTTATCAGATGTCAAAGGCGCGATATTGATAAGCGATTATTTGGCAGCAGACACTTAATCGTGAAATCGTTATCGATTTATTGGCACTAGCTGCAAAACTAAATGGCAACATTTTACCAGGAGCTTCTAGGGATTTGTGCCGCTTCTTAATTAACTGTTGAGTTTTTTTTTATATTTTTTAACCGTTATCAAGAGCTTTGCATTTTTTAATTAACTTGCGTTAGGTTTACGAGATTTCGTACCGCACCTTATTTTACATTATTCGTTATCCAGGTCCTCTTCCTGCATAGAGGTGTTTGAAAATCTTGCACTTAACGGTATCCAATTTAACTTCCCTTGTACCACATTTAAAATAACGTAACACGTCAACAACAATAATAGCGAGAGAAGGCCAACAGCCAGCCAATTGTGGGTTCAGTTAAAATGAAAAACCTAATCAGCAGCAAATGTGTTAAAAAACGGTTATTTAGCACTGCACTTATTAATCGAGCTATCGTAATTGTTATCGAACTCGTAATTACCGGCCAAGAACTTAGTGGCAACGCCAATTGCAACAGCTGCTTGGGCTGTGTGTTGTTATATTTCATTGTGTCTAGCTGGTGTGGGTGGGAATTAATTTAATTATATTACTTAACAAATCAAAGCTGTGCTAGAGCGTCATGGCAACGGTTCGCATACCCAAGCAAAAGGTCATACTTTGCGGCGACTATGGTGTGGGCAAGAGCTCCTTGTTCCGACGCTTCACAAACAACACATTTGTCACCGAAACAGACCGCAAATCGACGCTGGGCCTGGATCACATTGACCGCGAGTACAATGTAGGCGAGAAGCAAATTAAGGTTAGTCAACTTGTGCTGTAGTTGCGCATTGATAAAGATTTGAATAATCAATTTCTTGTGCAGCTGCAACTGTGGGACACTGGCGGCATGGAACGCGTCGCATCTGTAACTTCATCCTACTACAAATTTGCAGAGGGTGCTATTCTGGTATTTGCCTTGGACAATGCCGCATCATTCCATTCGCTGTCGCAACACTTGCTGGACATTGTAACGTATGCAGAGAACGCTAAAATCTTCATATGCGGCAATAAGAGCGACCTCGAAGGTCGTGAGCCAGAAGTAAGCGATGAGGAAGTCGAAGCATTTTGTGAGCAGTGCCATACGCTGATAAGCGCTACCTACAAGACATCCTGTCGCACGGGCAAGGGCATCGAGGATATGTTTCAGGATATTTCACGTCAGTTGGTACAGGCCAATCGATCCAAAATGGAGCTACAGGCACTCGAGCAGCAGAGTTTTCAAATAGACAAGGTCAACGAGACAGAGATTAACGAGGAGGCCTCCTCGTGCAGCTGCTAGCAGTTGGGAAACATTGAGTTTGGCTAATTCGTTGGCGCTCTCGGCTGAACTCAATGGAATGCAGCAATGCATTTTTCTAATTTACTTAATTTATTGATACAAACACTTGTATAACTTACGAATGTTTCGATTATTTTATTATTTGTAAATATTCACTTCAATTTAATGCTAAAACGTCCGAATATGTTATAGTTATTTTGATATAGTTAATATGTATGCGCCCAGTCGCGAAAACCAACGAACAACGTTTTATTTAAATACATTAACACTCATATGTATGAATAGGGCATAAGTCATAGTTAATTAAGCTTTGTAGACGTGTAGGGCTTGTGCTAGCCGTTAGAGTTTAAGACTTTTTCTTCAATATACATATATATTAACTCGCGATGGAAATTAATGAAAACTAATAATAAATAAACAATTATCTCAACAAGGAATGCGCCAACGTTTTTCATAATCCACAATCGTATTAGCGAGCTCCTCAAGCCCGCAACTATGACGTGGCCGCGGAGGAGGTGGGGGTAAATGTTAAATAGAGGCTCACGCCGACAGCAACCACAAAGCAAACGCCCACGCCGTACAGCACGACCTTTTCGCGCAATGCGCGCAGCATCATTGTGTTAAGGGTGCGGGAGGCGCGTCCTATGTCGGCGTTCGTTTCCCTTAGACGAGCGCGTGCGCCTTGCAGCGTTTCGCGCTGATGATGCAAATCTGTGCGAAAAGTTTGTCAAGATTACGGACGCATTAAGCAAAACTGATGCCCAGCTGTATTACCGTTCAAGACTTGGGCGCCGAGAGCTTCCGTTTCCACAGCCACGCGATAGCCTTCCGTCAAGCGATTGCCGGTGCGTTCAATTCGCTCGGAATTGTCCAGCAATCGTTGCCTTTGATCATTGCTTATGCCTACGTCCTCGTAGTAGCTCCCACTGTCACCTAGCTCGAGCGTGGTAAACCCGTTTGCCTGTGCCCGCAACTTGTCCTTTGTTTGTTTGTACTCCACTTGCAGGCGCTTCAGTTCCGCCTGTGCCACTTGCAGTTTTCCGTTGAAGCTGCTTCGCTGCGCTGGATTTAGCTCTCGCACCTCCAGGCCCATCTGTTCGAGCAGCTCCTGTGCCTCCGAAAAGCTGGCATCGATTTTGTTGCACAGTTCGCTGCGCTCGGCTGCGAGTCGTTGGCTTATCAAATTGCTCGAGAAAATATGTTCATGGCCTGTACTCACATGCATTTTGCTGTAGCCGACCAATATGTGCAGTTATTTCAGCGATTAGTGCTGCGTACTGCTGCTCATATTGCACCAGGAGTGACATCTGTTACTTATTTCAATTACAATTAGTTTCTTGTTGATTTGCAAAAATCTGCCTATTAATTTAGCTACCTTCTGTTTTGTTTATCATTTCACTCAGCAAATGCCATTCACAGCGAAACGCACTAGTGTTGTAAAATGTAAGCTCGGCGTTGCCAGACTTGCGAGTCCTCACTTACCGTTGTTTCGAATTTAAAGTGGTAATGAAAATACGTTTCTCCTTAAATAAATTAATGTTTTATTGTAATCTCATCGGGTACCGCTTGTTTGCAAACGAATCGCGACAGATTCTGTCTGCCGAAATGTGTAGTACTTAATCCAAATTGTGGTAAGACAAATTAATAATACTATTTCAATTAATTAGCTAGTTTATGTATGTATATGTACACTGTTCATCACATTTCTGTTTTGTGTTTTGTCAAATTGAGCCGAGCTTAACCCTCTATAAGCGTGGCCTTATCGCCCTTGCGCAGCACCAGCTCCAGCTGCGAGAGCAGCCCAATGGCACGAAAATTCTCCTTGAAGAGTACAAAATCCTCTAATGGCTTTAAATACTCTAGTGCCTGCGTGTAGCTATCGAGTTCCTTGAGTACATTGGCCAGGGTGCTTGAATCCGACGGTTCCGGCGTGTTGTGTCCATTTGTTTGGCTGCCGGAGCTGCTGGCGCTGCCGCCCTTCTTCTTTGGCGAGGCTGGTGCGGATGGGGCTGCTGCTGCTGCTGCTGTTGCGGGCGGGCTGCTGCCTTTGACGGAACGCACAGGTGTGGACTTGCCACTGTTACTGTCGGTCGTCGTCTTGGGCGCATTCTCTTTGCTGCTAGCGCTGTCGCGTCCGCTGTTGTTGTTCTGCTCCTTGGGACTGGGACTCCGCTGGTCCAGCTGCGTGGCCGCCGTGGATTCGGCCAGTGGCAATGGAGAGCCACGCGCGGCCGCTGAGGCATTTATTTCTTCAACTTCATCATCGGCCGGTGACTCCAGCTTCGGTCGCTTGGCCAGCTGCACTGGCTGAAAGGGGCTGACGCGTTGTTGGGACTGGTTCGGCGGTAGTTGTGGCTGGAACGGTTCTCGCTGTGGCTGCGGTGGCGTCAGCGCCGCGCCTGGCGTGGGTACCACATGCGGTGGTGGGAACTGGGCTTGCAGTTGTTGTTGCTGGTGCTGCTGCATCTGCTGCTGCAGCTGTTGCTGATGGCGCTCAAAGTAGTAGTCGTTAAAGCTAAAGCCGGGATGCGGATGTGGGTGACCATGTGGGTGGCCGGGGAAAGGCGGCCAGGCTTGATTTAACTGATGCTGTTGCTGCTGTTGTTGTTGTTGCTGCAGGTGCTGTTGCTGAAGCGCATAATGCTGCTGCTGCTGCTGCTCCTGATAGCTCTGATCTTTGATGTCCATGCTGTCGTCGTCCTCTTCGTATTCGCCATACTGTTGCATGTAGTTCATGTACTGCTCCGGCATTTCCTCCAGCTTGGCCACACGCTCCGCGCTGGCCGGCGGAAAAAGATGCTGCAGGTCCTGTACAATGTCCGGTATCCACAGAGATGTGCCCATGGGCTTCAGCTGATTGGTGGCCAGCTTCTGTGCGAAGCCCTGCAAATGTGTCTCGCGAAAGCGATTCAGCCAGCGATTGTCCGCTATGAAGGATGTGCTGCCGATCACTTGGCGTGCATTTTCCGCCTTGTCCTTGATCATGCCGTGGGTGATGCTGCCGCGCAGCTGAGGATTGATATTGGCGCGCACCAGCCACTCGTAGACAACGGCATTGATGTAGGCGCACTTGCGGCTGCGCTCGATCTCCTCCACCATGGCCTGCTGCTCCACGGCCTCCAGATTGGATGGCACCTCCAGCCGTAGCGTGGGCAGAGCATTCGACTGCAGCCTTCGTCCGCCCAGCACACTGGGATCAAAGTGCAGGGCGCACACGACCGGCTTCTTAAATGGTATGATGCGCCGCAACGAGGCGTGGCACGCCTCCTTCCAGAGCTTGTGAAAGGGATTGTCCGGCCTGGGAAACGCAAAGAACTGCATGCTCGGATGCTGCCTCGAATTCGACAAGCATCCGATGATGCAGCACCGCCGGATAGTCGGCATAACGGGTATACTGTTTACGCCCCGAATTGTTAATGAAGTCGTTTTGGCGTTGCAAATGCCCGCCAATACCAATCAGAACATAAAAATATAAATGCACAGCTGCAAATAGAAGATAAATCGAATATGTTAATTCTCGATATTCCAATTAACTGGCTCCATACTCCATTCATGCACATACTCCAAACGCCAAGCTCCTGCGAAAACACAAATTCCGATCTATTCTTCTTCTATCCTCTTTCCTGCTCTTTCGTTGACTATTTCGTTGCCCTTGCTTTGAATTTCGCCGCGTTTTATGCACACGATCTGGCAACACTATTTGTTAAAGACGCGCTCAGTTTCTACGTTGCAAATTTTAACAATTTCGTGCGCAATCGTAAACAATTTAATCATATAAACGGCACAACTCGATCTATACCTCTTTAAGGCAAGTTTATATACTGCAAGGCAGCTTTATACGTGCATGTAAGTATGTACATATATTTGCACTATGAAACTAAATACATACATACATATGTATATAAATGTTGAGGCGCTTCGACTTGCGAAAAGTGCAATCAACTTAAAGCTTAGGAATTGCCAAGCATCCCTTCAGAAAGTTAAAAACTTTTGAAATAAAGTTGTTCAATAAAAGTTTTTGTGCTTAATCAACATCAAAAACTAAGAAACTTTAGTTTGAGCCAAGCTCCCTTTAGCCATACCCTGGGGAGAACGCGTTGCCAACAAAAAAAAAAAACTGTAATTTGGCGGCAAAATAATATTAGCGAATCGAAAAACAATAATGATTGTATCTCCTTATAAAGTCGGGGAATCAAGTTACAGTTTCTGTGTGACTCAACTTGGATCACACAGTGAAGCAAAAACAACCACAAAATTATATTGAAATCTATGAGCAAGCGCTTAGACAATCAGATTTTATAGGGACCGACACATGACGCATATATTGAACGAGTATTCATATATATATATATATATATCAATAGGTTCTGCAATGCATACGACTGTATTTATAATTTGACCTCGGGGTTTGGAAAAATACCATCTGCACGCACACACAGCCACACAAAGATACACGCACACACACACGTGTGTGTGTTTGTGTGGAAATGCGTGTGATAGGTACTTCAGAAAGTTTGAATATATAAGAGCAATACGAGAGCGTCATGCCTGCTATAAGACAGAGATACGAGCGCACCATTAAAAACATCTCACACACACGCACACACACACACGCACACACATACAGATGCAGGCATAAAACTGTTGATAAATTTGAAGCGCTGCTCAGCCAACGATGCGTACGCCTTCAGAAATCGATACGTTTTCCAGTCCCAGTCGCAGCCCCCAAAACCAGAACCAGTCGGACGTCGAACGCTCCATTATGGGAGCACCCAAGCGCCCATACCCATATCGGAGAGCTCTCACACACACACACAGATACAAACACACACACACTGATATAGCTACAGATATAAATACGAAGATAGCTGCTGCTGCTGCTTCTGGTGCTGCCGCCGCTAGCAACAGCAGCACTTGACTAAAGTGAACGACTTGGCCGGGCCTCCGCCTCCTCCAAGATTGTGGATAATACTCTGCTGAGTCAGATACATACATAGCCGTGATGCCCCCGAATAACAACCC